GTAATAAAGTATAAAACTGCGTCTCTCAAGAAACTATAAAAAATTAGTATCTTCACAAGATGGGAAACTATTCCTTTCCCCATGCTTACTTGATATTAAATTTTTAAAAAATTGCATTTTCATTATTTATTTATTACTGTTTATTCTATTTTTCAGTCAACATTTTTGGTACTCTGAGGTTTTCTTTCACAGTGTAATAGATTTATAATAAATATTATAGTAAACCAAAAACATTTAAATATTTTAGAAGGAGGCCATGATTATTTTTTACTGAACAGCTAGCAAACTTCATAGGCATGTCTCCAAGAGTAAATGTTTATCTTTTTTTCTCATTTGTTTCTCTTTGAATTTACTCACAAGTTTTAAAAATCAAAGTTTGACCTTGTAGTCAGTTATCCAACTTTTTGATTGAATTGACCTCTGTATGACACCTGAGCCTGCCCATTTGAATCTTCTCTGGAATTTACCACCTGCTCTATAAAACTACATTGATGCCCCTTATTTTACAATAGTCAACATGGATACATTAATTAAAAATCCTTAAAGTTTAGTAGATTATCTTCAAATGAAAAAATGAATGTAATAAAAGTCAGCCAACAAATTTTATTAAGTAAACATTGTGTCAGAAGCACTATGAAAAATTACAAAGAGGCTAAACTCTTATTATTATCTTCAAGAAATTGAAAACCTGGAGAGTTTAGACATTTATTTTTTGAGGTGTAACTATAAAGGAAAGTGTCTCCACAAGCCACCTGCTAAACTGATCCCCATAGTCGTTAAGAGCAGAAAATGTATATACTAATTATTTGCTTTTAACATTTGAATACCCCTGTATTATACTTTTTGTCCGGTATTTGCTTTTAAGGTTGTATTTAAATTGATGAAAGTTACAGAAAACAGTCATTACTCTTAAGATCAAATGAAACCCCGCATTGCAGTCTGTCTGCTCATCCATAATTCAGGATCCCAGCCTCAAACACGAGGCTCAGACAAGCACAAATATTGGCAAAGGTGAAATACTGAATGACTACAGTAGCAGCTAAATGATGTGGCAATCTGTGTGTGCACTTCAATCTTCTTGCACTAGAAATAAAAATTAAAAGCATAAAACAGCCAAATATTATGGTTATAAACTAAATAAGCAAGAGAGGAAAGCCAAGTTGCAACTATTCAAAGCTACATGCTTTTTGTTGGTTATACATGGATCTGATATGGTAATAAAACCCAAGATGCGGAAAGGCATTTGTTCCTCAGATTGTCTATCCAGGCCCAAAAAAGGGGGGCGGAGGGGGGAATGCAGATTCTAGAAGAATGCTCTTACGGATTTGAACTTTGAAAATAGCAACTCTAGTTCTATTTAGGTTAATAGAAAAGTATTTTTCCTCAAAAAAATTTCTTCATGTTTCTTAATTATCTGGGCCAGTGGTCGGCAAACTCATTAGTCAACAGAGCCAAATATCAACAGTACAACGATTGAAATTTCTTTTGAGAGCCAAATTTTTTAAACTTAAACTATATAGGTAGGTACATTGTTATTAACTTAATTAGGGTACTCCTAAGGCTTAGGAAGAGCCACACTCAAGGGGCCAAAGAGCTGCATGTGGCTCGCGAGCCGCAGTTTGCCGACCATGGATCTTGGCAATATTGCCCACCCTCCATTTATGAGGAACTTGGTCACTAAACACCCTTGACAGAAGCTGGTCTTCTCTGTCTGGGACGTTGACTCTTGCTTGGGCTCAAAACATCAGTGAGCCACACAGTGAGAGCTGAACACAGGAGGGGACATGTCCCTCGCCAGCTGAATCAGCGGAATTCACCCAGCAGATCAATAGGCGAGCAGACAGATCTGCAGGCCCCTTCACTTCCAAGGTTCATTTTGTTTCCACTGATGCAGGTCAGGCTAGATGTGGCCGCAAGACCTTTCATTTTATAACCATTAGTAATAGATATAGATATAGATATAGATATAGATATAGATATATGTGTATATATAGATATACACATATATCTATACTAGAGGCCTAGTGCACGAAATTCGTGCACGGGTAGGGTCCCTAGTGGTTGCCGGCTGCCAGCCAGGGCCTCCTTCATTATGTGCCACCCCCTGGTGGTCAGCGCACGTCATAGCAAGCAATCGAACTCCCGAAGGGATACTTTGCATATTAGACTTTTATATAGATAGATATCTATATATATCTATATCTATATCTATGTATATACAAATGAAGTAGTTGATGCTAAGAGCTAATGATAACTGTCTAGTGCTCAGAAATCTCATCTCTTCCTAAACTGCTAGGTTTATTGCTCTAAATTTGTCAGGTACCCTTATGACATGTTGTAACGCTTTCTTTGACTAGAAAGGAAAAAAATATATAGTAAGTGTAGTCATCTCACTATGTAATAAAATTACTAGTTTTATACAGCACAGAATATATAAAACCATTATAAATCCTCTCCAAATCTGAAAAAATTGCGACAAATGATCAGGCCTTTGCTTTCTCATGCAATTTTCTTCCATGGCTATTGCAACAGTTCACCACATCACAGTATTTATAGTTTTCAAAGCACCTTCATCTATCATCTCACTGAGCTTGACAACAATCCCGAGAGGGCCAGTCCACATTTTGCAAGTGGGGTCCCTAAGTGCATAGATGTTAAATAGGACATCCATTGTCACAGGTGAAGGATGGGGGGGGGGGCCTCCAATGCTTTCCCCCATTCCACACACATCTTAAGAAAAACCACTTATATAGCCACCACAAAAAATATTTTAATTTTTCAACCCAGTGATCCCACTTTCTTTTTCCCCCCAAGAAACCAGAAACACCAATCAGAAAGGATAAATGCACCCCTAGGTTCATAGCAGCACAATTTACAATAGCTAAGATTTGGAAACAGCCTAAGTGCCCATCAGAAGATGAGTGGATTAAAAAACTGTGGTGCATCTACACAATGGAATACTATGCTGCTGTAAAAAAGAAAGAAGTCTTACTATTTGCAACAGCATGGATGGACCTGGAGAGCATTATACTAAGCGAAATAAGCCAGTCGGAGAAAGATAAATATCACATGATCTCACTCATATGTGGAATATAATAAACAACATAAACTGATGAACTAAAATAGATCCAGAGGCATAGAAGCATCAAACAGACCATCCAACCTCAGAGGGAAGGCGCAGAGAGGGGGAAGAGAGGGAGAGAGATGAACCAAAGTACTTATATGCATGCATATGAGTGTAACTCATGGACACAGTCAGTAGGGGGTTGGGGGTGAGGGCATGTACTGGGGGGGGACGAGTGGGAGAAGTCAATGGGGGAAAAAGGATTCATATGTAATACTTTAAACAATAAAGAATAAATAAATAAATTACATTCAAACATTTAAAAAATATATTTAAAAAAACCAAGCTAAACATCAGTACTCTTCTCTCTCCTCTCACCCTTAACCATAACCTTAAAAGAGTTGTCAAACCAAAATAAGAATAAAATGTCTGTAGGATCATAAGCCAATTCTGAATTATTTTCAAATTTACTCTTTATAATTTCCCTTTATTGCCAATCGCATCCAGAGAACTTTCCCATTTAATGCACTCAAAGGAAAATCTGCTTTATTACCTAATTACCTTCCCCCATAGTTTGTAGGAGACCTGTAGGTTTCCTTTCCATTACTTCGCAGATGAGGTCACTGAGACACCAAATGCACAGAATGGTTCAGTAATTAACACCCTGGCAAACAGCCAAGACAAGACAGAGGCATGGAACTCCAAATTCAGTGCTCCACCTCCCCAAGCAGACATACAATTTTCCCTGGAGATCCCTGGCACTGGGCAGACCCAGTCAGAGGTCTGTTCAGACTATGGAGGAAGTCTATGCCCACATACTCAACAGAGATCTGTTTGGGGACCACGTGACAAGGGGAGCTTCTAATTGGTGGTTTCTGGTCGGGTGGGGAAACTGCCAGTTTCACTCATGACCTGATTTTCTAAAGCTGGGAGCATGTTCCGGGCCATAAATATCCAGACTTAAGCATTTAGTCTGTATTTGAAAGGTCAAGCGTGCTTAACTGAAAATTAATGCTGTGCACATCAAGTCCACTGCAAGCCAGGGAAGTGGAGTTATGACAGATTAATATGATGCCCATGGTGCAAAGCCACACTGATCACTTGCTGGAAATTCTAGAAAACCAGAAGGCCAACCTATAACATTGTTGGACAAAGACTAGAGCAAATCCCTGCTAACGTTGGATATTTTTATATCCTAAGAACGTGCGTTTGAAGCCTGGGAGAGGTAGAATGGGAATTGTACAGGGAAGCAGTCTTATATCTATAGATGATGATGATTTTTATGGCTCAAGGAGTATACATGTTGAAAGAAAATTCACAAATAGGAACTCGTTTATGAGCTGCCATAACGTTTGACTGTTGATTCCCTTGCAAAGAGCACCTTGTTCTCAAAGAGAAAGAACACTGGTGGGAGCGGTTCCAGTCCACAGGCTGCCACTAACCACTGATCTCAGCACCCCTTTGGGCCTCTTTGCCCCATTTTTCTTAAAGACTTTCTATGTCTCTAAGGGCTTTCCTGTTGGGATAAGTAAGCCACTGGTTTACTTATCAGACAATAGCATCTAGTTATTTGTTACCACTGTCACGACCCCTTCTGGGGCGCTGTCACGGAGCTGTGTTGCCATTTGTTATTGAAGGAGAGTTTGCTACAACTCTGAACTCCCACTGGACACCAATAACCATTACTAAGGCCACACAAACGCAGATGCAAAATCAACATAAGAACTTTGTCTTTTTGCTACATAAAGAAGACAGAATCTTGAAGTAGCATCGACTCGTTTGAAAACACTGGGATGAAAGACATTTTGCTATTCCTTGTTATGATTTCATAAAATTGAATAAAAATGCAAGCGCCTTGAAAAGTTCTGAGATAAACGGATATTGAAAACGCAGAAACAACAAAAGCCCGAAAACGAGGGCCGCTTCTGTGCCTTACCCTGCAGCCTCTGCATCACGTTGGCAATGTCCCGCGGAGACCGAGAGGCCGTCCTGGAGGCTGCCATGGTCCCCGCTGCAGCATGAAACCCACAGCAGAGACTCTTGGCTCCAGGCAGAGCAGGACTAGGCTGCTCCAGAAAACACCTTGAACTTCACGGGATCTATGGGGTCATGATGCAACCCCAGGCCCGGGGGCAGCCAGTGCGAAGACAGCACTCCCAAAGGTGAAACCACTTCTTTTCCTTCCTCTTCAATAAACTCAGGAACCTGAAAAACACACAGAACAGGTACAATATTTAAAAAAGCCACATAGGTCACCATAGTGCTCAAATAAGAACTATTTCTATTCAATTTGAATAGATGATTCATTACCAAGTGAAATGACTAATGGGAAAAGACTTATAAGGTACTAGGCAACTACTAGGAATTTTGATGATAGTTGATAAAACAAATACATACACAAGACATATGCAATCAAATTGGTAGCTAAGAGGAGAAATGTTCACTTTTATTTCATGTTTTTAAACTATAAACTTTCTCCATTGGTCTATGAAAAGTGAAAGTTTAAAACACAGAGTTCCATTTCTCTTTACCCACAGGCTCTCTCACCTATGCTGTGTTAGCCTGCTTTGCACAGCTGATGTTGCTGTTTTGTTAGTACACTTCCCAGGAATGAGATCAAATCTTAGCTCCTAATAACACTTTGGTGAATTAAAACATAAATATAAAACTATTTTATTCTAAAAGTTTGAGTTTCAAATATCCTGACTTTAGAAGTCAAAATTGGTTAGATTTAGTGGTATTTCTCTCCACACAGATTCTGAAGTAAGTTGTAAGGGTGGAGTAGGAGTGGTTAAGCAGACAAGACATTTTCCTTCTAACTTCTTCCTAAAGTCTCTGCTTCGGTCCAGTTTAGCTCATAATTCTTCAGTGGGGGAGGGGGAAAAGAGGTAGGAGAGTAGTTGCTAAAATCTTGACATTGAGACATATACTTGGAACAAGAATTTCTTAACCCTGGGGTTAGCTGAAGAGAAGGTTTTGCCACAGATAAAATAATTAATGACAGAAAAAGAGGAACGTGAAAAATGTGCCCAGAGAAAGAAACTTAACCACGGGGCCAAACCAAAGGGGCCTATGTCAGAGTGACACTTATTACAGTTCACCCGCATCTCTGTGATATGATGACACTAGTAAAGGTTGAGAAGAGGAATGGGAAGGGGGGCCAGGGAGGATGATAAAAACAAAACTGTAAAGAAAACACAGCACATGTATGTGGGATGGTCCACCTGTCAAAAGGAAAAATAAGAACATAAGAGGAGTCTATGAATGCTATCAAAAGTTCTATTATCAACTGAATGTATATAAACAGTATTATTTGTGAAGGATTGGTTAAGTAGAAGCGTGTAAGTACAACGCACAACTGGCTGTAAGGTGTCATTATTAACACTAGTATATAATGGGTTCTGGTTAGAATGCACAAACTCCAAGCTGATAGTAATCTTTTTTAATTATTTTATTTTTTTAATATATTTTTATTGATTTCAGAGAGGAAGGGAGTGGGAGAGAAACATAGAAACATCAATGATGAGAGAGAATCATTGACTGTCTGCCTCTTGCGTGCCCCACACTGGGGACCGAGCCCGCAACCTAGGCATGTGTCCTGACCGGGAATCGAACTGTGACCTCCTAGTTCATAGGTTGATGCTCAACCACTGAGCGACACCAGCTGGGCAACAGTAATCTCTTTTAGATTACCATTTTGAAAAGGATGCAAAACATTGCACACCGCTACTGTCCCCACGTGCAAAAGGCAGCGGCGGGCTTCTCTTGGCTACTTGAAAGGATACTTGGCAATACTTCTCGGCTGAAGGGGCGCTTCCCAGTGGGTGGCTCTCCGAGTGATTCTCAGAGGAGAAATGATTACTGTGGCCGGCCTGTCATGCATCCAGGCCCACGGCCTGCGATGACTGTGTACCCATTAGCAGCCTTCACCTCCTGGGGACAAATATTCCACCTGCCCGCATACACAAGCTACCTTAACCTGAAAACCAACAGACAATGAGAATTGCCTGAGGAATCTTACAAGGGCCTCTTCTAAGCTGTTAGAAAGTTAGGTTCTCCAAATGCAACACTGTAACTTTCTGAAATCTATCTATCTATCTATCTATCTATCTATCTATCATCTATCTATCTACATATATACTGAGTAGGGATGAGGAAAGAGATTCATTTTCATTCAGCTGCCCCACACCAAGCCATGCTCAGCACTGTAGTTCACAGATGATTAAGACATGGCCACCACCGTCAATCAAGAATTGTGAAATTAAAAGGATTTTTTTAGTCATTGCATTGCAGATCACCACGTTCTTACCCTTGTATAGTTCACATTCATGTTACCCAATAGATTAATACTGAAATATGTATCTATCCTTCCCTCCATCCCTCTTTTGATACCACATAGAAGCCAGAATAGCTCTGCTGTGTCCACCTTCAGCTTATGCATCAGTCTTACTTCTACAGTGTGTCCTATTCCTCTTAGTACCTCCCCTCAGCGTTATTTTCCCTCCATTGCTCCAATACCACCCATCTATACTATTATGCATATGATTTGTCTTATATTTTTCACCATTATTAGCCCTGGCTCACTCTAAGATCATTGTTAGCCTTATCTCGCTCAAATTAGACCACGGACATTTTGCAGGTCTAGAGATTATAAGTCTTATTGCTTTGACATCTCACCTATTGATACCAAGTATATCTGTGAGCACATCGCAGTCCTCAATACATATTTTTGTTTAATTAAATCAAGTTCATAATACTTCACCTCTATGAACTAACCCCCAGAAAACCATCCACCCCCTGCAAAAGGGGTTGATGCAATATCCTTCCTATTTTAGACACAAGATAAAATATTTTGCATGTGTACACATATTTCCTCTTTTGCAAAATTACGATACTCTTGCTTTTTACTGATACTTTAACTTCAGAGGACATATCATTTGATTTAAAAAGTTTGAGTGAGTAAAACAAAGATAATAAAAGGAGACTGGGAATTAGAAGCTATGAATTCTAGGCTTCGTTTTGTTCCAAACAGTTGGGTGATTTGGAGCTGGTTCTGTGGACAGAGGCCCTCGACCACTGCCTGCCCCGGGGAGTGTGGTGCCAAGAAATGGGCTAAAAAGACATGGAGCTGAGTCCGAATTCTGTCTCTTACTGTCCATGTGACCTTAAGATAAGTGAACTTTTCTGAGTGCTTGTTTCCCCATCTGTAAAAGGAACCAATTTTATGCTAATACGTTTGATTTCATCCTGCTAAATTAAATTTAAAATGTGTCTGGCATGTAGTAGAGTTTCAGTTTCTCACTGGCTCCCACCTTCTTTCCCCTGGCCTCCGTTTCTCTCCCTGCAATTTGAGTGAAGACATTCTCTCGGGTGAGCTCTTCAGTTCCAAAACCAATGGCGGCACCTGTGACCGCTAAAACCACTGCTGGTACAAGGTCACGAGATCTTGAAGGTCACTCCTTGAACTGACTGATTACCTAGCAGTGGCTGTGGCCGTGACCTCCCAAATCAGAATGATGGGAAGATAACCATGTCCAGGGTGATTACAAGTTTTAATAGGCACAGGATATTGTGAGGGTGGGAGAGGGAGAGGGGAGCAACCAGTATCAGAATGGAAAGGGAGAATTAGGTAGACATTGTAGGTGGTGTACCAATGAGCAGTCCCTGCACCATCTCCAAACCCTTCCAGCAGGAGGAACTGAGATGACAAGGGAGCTAAGTCCATCCTCCATACCTAGCAGAGAGGCAAGATTCCTGAATTTATTATTTCATTCAGAAAAAAAAAATGTATTGAGAAACTATTTGACAATGATACTAAGTAAACAGCAGTGAACAAGACAGATAAGCCTCTCTGAGAGCTTATGTACCAGAGGAGGAGATGATAAATCAACACTACAGCAAAGTAGAGTGAGTGTTGTAATGCAGAAACCCAGGGTTCTGTGGAAACAAGCTCAATGCCCAATCAATAGCCATCTGCTGTATTTATTGTGCAGGATGCAGAGGGATTTTAACTGTCTGCTGTTTGGGATTCTCCTTTCTGAACAGCATGCTCTTCTATCACCCACACCTGTGAAAAGCACAGCCCCAAATCATCACAGCGGAACCTTGCCAGTCTCTAAGCCAGTGGTTCTCAACCTTCTGGCCCTTTAAATACAGTTCCTCATGTTGTGACCCAACTGTAAAATTATTTTCGTTGCTACTTCATAACTGTCATGTTGCTACTGTTATGAATCCTAATGTAAATATCTGATATGCAGGATGGTCTTAGGCGACCCCTGTGAGAGGGTCGTTCGACCGCCAAAGGGGTCGCGACCCACAGGTTGAGAACCGCTGGTCTAAGCAGAGTGGACAACTGGCTACTGAAGCGGTTTCTTGTTTGTGCTCCTAAGAGGGAAGACACTAACTAGGAAAAACACTAGAAGAAACACTACGAGGCCACAGAAATACATCTTAAAGCGACGTAACTACAGGTTTAGGTGTGGAGAAATGAGAGCAGAAAATTCCGAACCCGCAACAATCGGAGATGAGGTGGCTCATTTCTGACTGAAGAGGATGAAGTGACACCATAAAACATAAACTGATGGACAGCACGCTGCTGGGGTGTACATGAAGTACGGCTATTACTTAATCAGCTGCCTAAATATGCTCAAGAATAGCATCGCTATTAAAATCCACTTAAACAAAAATAGAAAAGCTAATGAATGCATTCCGCCCTCCTTCTAGCTAAGTTCTTTGCTGGAATGAGTCACATAAGTGTCTAATTTTAAATTTCGTTACTGATTTTCTCTTTCATCCTTTAGTAATGGTACTAATTACAACAACAACAAAACTAAGGTGGCTAAATGGGATAAAGATGGCTAACGGGAAGAAGAGGGCCGTCCTGGGGTTACCATAAATACACTGCTACCGTATGTGTGTGTGTGTGGGGGGGGGGGGGGTCAGTGAGTAGAACTGGTAATTACTATTATGACATCTACAGGGTACCAAATAAGCATTGGTCCTTAGCCTGCAAGAGCAAAAATACAAACAAGTCATCAAAAGACAAAGTATAGAGCCGATGGGCATGAAGGATATTGTCATGATTCAACTCCATTTTTATAAGCTTGGAGTATTATTAATCACTAGAGGCCTGATGCATGAAATTCATGCAAGGGGTTTGGCCCTCACAGCCACAGTTTTGTCTGGAAGGATGTCCAGTCTAATTAGCATATTGTGCTTTTATTATTATAGATGCCCAAACACATCAGCTACCTTTCTGTCCTACTTTGCTAGAGTATATACCGCACTCTTTGCCAAACATGAGCTCTTGTTGAATTAGTCCCTAAGGAAGGGTACAGGACTATGCTTTAGGGGAGGAGAAATGCAGATTTCCTCACCGGGGAGTCCTGGGTCCTGTGGCTGTCACCTTCAGGCCACAGGGTGTGGCGGCGGTAGAATCTAGCGCGGGAACCGCAGGAGAAAATGCTACCAACCTTGCCCAATCATGGGCTTGCCTCCTCTTTCCATTACACCTCCTCTCATTTCTAAGAAGCTGTTGCATAATTATCAGAGAGCAAGTCTTAGGTGTAGCACCCTACACATTTCACACAAGCAATTCTTGAACATTTTAAAATGGTAAACTACCCTTCCCCAATCCCTACTCCCTTGCAGAACAGAATCAAGTGAGAAGTCTTTTCATGGGCACAGTGACGACAGAAAGAAAGCAGTGGGGAAAGTCACCAGCTGAGAAAGATAATAATGAGACTATCCCATAGAAGCTAAGCAAATGTTTTCAAAGGTCAGCAATGTTATCTGAGTCAAGCTGCGCCTGTATCTTCTGCATGAAACATACTAAGTTAGCCTTCATCTGGCACATTTCATTCTGAATTTGCCACAAAGTAATACAGATTCAAAGACACAAGAAGAAATAGACATGTTCTATTCCACTGCGCTGGTGATGTCAGGGACTTTTTATCTATACTATTCATCTTTTTCACCGTGGGGAACAGCAAGCCTCTGAAAAAAACCATCCTCATGACTCATGATTCAATCAGCATTTTACGCACATGTGGGTCGCATGAATAACCTTTGCCTAACTGAGAATGATTACACTTTCTCTTGGGTAGATCTGGTTTCTGGCTACAAATGTTTTCTTTCGGAAAGTGGCTCCCAGATGAAGACAAACATAAGCACTAAAGAAAAGAAAAAAAATAATAATTCACTTTGAACTTTCGTAACCTTCACTGAAAAATGGCAGCTACAACCATGGTTTCTACTCCAAACTGCTCAGACATGAACATTCCGGGACGGTAGGGCCCATTCCACAGCGGATGCTTCTGGATGGGCTGGGCCCGAACCTGCAGCCTCCACGCTGGTATCCAGGCTGCACACCGAACCCGTTTCCCAAAGGGGTCCCTCTGCTTTGCAGCGGATGCTGCTTCCTGTGGCCTGGTCCCCTGCCCCTTGCCCGGCACCTGCCGCCCGGGAGCATCCTTGCACAGCACTCCACGGGCAGCAACGCACCACCTCTGTCTGAAACGCGTGTTTCTGGAGGAGAGGAAAGTTGTCTTCCCTCTAGCGTAGGCTCTCCGCGGAAGCATTTGCTGGGTGACAGCTGAGTAGAGTCTGGAGCTGGGGCCTCCTTCAGGCTTCCAGCCCTGGGCTTTGCCGCCCGCCCCCCTCCCTCAGCCCTTCCCAAAATAGTCTGGGCTGGAGGAAGGGAGGCTCCGAGAATGCGTCCAACGCCCCACACCTCCCATCGGAGAGGAGCCGCAGTGCCAGCCATCACAAGGAGAGGGTGGCAGCCTTTTGCTTGGGCATCATTGGAGCCCAGAGAGGTGCCATAAGCGGAAATGACAAGCCAGAGAGGGGGCTCCGCAGAGGGGCAGCTGCGTACAAGATGCTGGGAACACGCTCCCCTCCTCCGGCCTCCCCACCCAGAGCACCGCACGCACACACCACGGCCCCCGCCTTCCCCCGAGCACGCACCGCCCGTGCAGCAAGTGCAAACTTGCTCGCAATTTGTCTGCCATCTCTTCGGCTCGCACCCAGCTTCTCAGCCCCTCTCCTTCTCTTCCCGCCCCCCATCTCGCCTTCCTTTTACCTTCTCTCTCCCGGGCTGGCTCAGGCTCCAGGCGGCGCAGCGAGCGAATGGCCGGCGCCGCCTCCGTCGGCC